AAATACTCACTAATGTAAACAGTTCTCCAAGCAGGACATATAAATGATCAAGTGGTATATGTAAAGATGCTCAATGTCACTAATAATCAGGGAAATATAAATCAGAGTAACAATGAGATATTACTTGTCACTTCATACCTGTTAGAATAGACACTGTTAAAAAGAAAAAAAAATAAGGGCTGAGATTGTGGCTCAGTGGCAGAGCGCTTGCCTAGCACATGGGAGGCACTGGGTTTGATCCTCAGCACCACATAAAAATAAATACATAGAATAAAAAGTTACCCCCCCCCAAAAAAAGCGCCTGTCTTTAAAAAAAGATAATGACAAGTATTGGTGAGAATGTAAAGAAACTTTATCCTTGTGCACTGTCGATGGGATTGTAAATGGTGCAGCCATTATGAAGAATAGTATGAAAGTGCCTCAAAAATTATAAATAGAACTGTCATGGGATCCATCAAGCCTCCTTCTGGGAATTTATCCAAAAGAATTAAAAATGAGATCTTGAATAAATATTTGCAGGCTTATATTTATTGCAGTATTATTCATAAAACCAACAGCTAAAAGCAACCTAAATGTCCACCAAGGATGAATGGGTGAAGAAAATATGGTATATACATGCAAAGGAGTATTACTCAGCCTTGAAGAATAAGGAAATTCTGCAATGTGTAGCAACATGGGTACACTTTGAAGATATCTTTCAAAGTGAAGGAAGGCATAAGGAGAAGTATTGCAAAATTTCACTTACATGAAGTATCTAAAGTAGTTAAGCTCATAGAAATAAAAAGTAAATTGATAGTTCTGAGGAGCTGGAGAAAGAGGAAATGGAATGTTGTTGCTCAGTGGGTACAGAGCTTTGGTCACTGCACATGAAAAAGTTCCAGAGAGCTCAGTACAATATTGTGCATATAGTTAACACTACACTGGATGTTTTAAATATGTTACCAGCATAGATTTACTGAATAACTTATTGCAATAAAAATAATATGTTATCACAATAAAGACTATATTCATTAATGTTCTATTGCTAATCTTGATTGCTTGTAAATCTTCTTCCATTGAGTAATTTTATAAAAAATCTTAAGGAATGAAATATTTTCAATGCATTGCTATTTAATACCCTAGGACTAAAAAAAGTGATTAGCACTTGCCTCCAAAACAGTGGTTCGTGACCTAAGTATCACAACAGTCCAACTAGAAAATGAGCCAAAAGTAGTGGACTGTGCTGAGGAAAAAATTAGCTGGGGTGGGGGGTGATATCTCCATTACATCTCTCACTGGTTCTTTGAGTAAGTAATTTGGATTTGGGGTACTTTCATTTACTCAGATATAAAATGAAGATAATAACAATGCTTCTCTCGCTGCATTATTATAATGAAGAAATGAGATAATACATCTAATACACCTGGCTCAGCCTGTATCCCTATTATTGTTACTGCATACTCACAATGGGTGAAGAAGACACATTGCAAATAAATCTGTGTGCACATGTGTGTGTACATGTTTGTGTTTCTACATAGCAGCATGAGCTAACTGCTGCTATGGTCCAAATAACTATTCAATGATTCATTTTGTTGATTTTAAATATGTTTTCAAAGTGGGTCATAGGTTGCTAATCCCGTCATCCACAAATTAAAATATACTTTAAAGAGAGATTATGTATGTTTCCCCTATGGTTTTCTCCTCTCCTCATTCTCACTCTAATAGTTAGTAGGGTAGATTTTCTGTAAACATTTTTTGAATGAATACATATTTATAAAATGAAATTCTGCAAAATAAAGCATTTCAAGGGTTTCATCAAAAGATGAATAAATTTGTGCATGTCTAGCCAGGCATTTCCAATTCAGAACACCTTATACTGAACAGTGACGTGACATTTGCCTTCTGAGGGATCCACTGGAGGAGACAGTTTCTATTTTATAGAATTTAAGCATTCAGGAGGATTAAAAGGGGACCCGCAGTTCATGTATTATGCTTTCTTATTTTAAAAATCAGAAACTAAAGCCCAAATTCACCTAGAGAATTGACCTATGGAGGGCTCTGTCCATAGTCTTCTGGTTTCTGTACCAGGCTGCATCTAATCAAAATCTCTGGCTCCTCCATAGCTGAGACCAGACATAGAGACTCTAACAGCTTTAAGTGGACCTAAGAGTATTTCTGTCTGTGGGGAAAGAAATACATTAGCATTCCCTCTCTCGCACTTTCTCAAAGTCTCTCTTCTTCTCTCCTCTTCTCCTCTCCATGGTGCTTACACACACACACACACACACACACACACACACACACACACACACACACTTTACATACAGCCAGGGAAAGCTTGCACTGCCCATGTGGCCACCAGGGGGCTACCATGAGAATAGAAAAGCAGAAAAAAAAACTCCTAAAATAATCCCCCTGGTTTGGTCCAGGAAACAATTGTAAAAGACTTGTGTGAAACATACTGCCTTCAAGAAATTGGAACTTTTGTTTGCATTTCTGTTCTCTAGCTTCTTAAAGTCATTTGTTGGTAAAATACAGTGTGGCACAGGAATTTAGATTGAACATGTGCTCACTTCCTTTAATCAGTAATCAGCTAATTTTAGGAAATTTTATAATTTTAAGAAATTATTATTTATTCTTGAAGAGATACATTGAGGTACTGTGGATAGTGTCCTTTTAAATTCCTAACTTTTAGAAATGTATGTGTATAGCTATTTATGGATGAAAATGAGATGCCTGAGATTTGCTTCAAAATGTAGAGAATAGTAATGTACTGTATGTTGCAAAAGGTGGAAGAAATGGTTTTGAATGTTTTCATCAAAAAGAAATGATAAATGTTTGAGGAGATAGATTCATTTAACATGACTTAAGCATTACTAAATATATATATTTATTAAAACATCTCCAGGCACCCCACTAACATGCACATGGGATTGTTTATTTGTTTATCTGCTTGTTGAAGATAGCTTTTTTCCGTGTTGCCACTCTGGCCTCAAATTTCTAGACCCAAGTAAACTCCTGCCTTAGCATGTGCCTGTAGCTAAGACTACAGGCACATGCCACCAAACCTGGTTTAATTTTTATGTATCAGTTAAAAGTAAATGTAAGTTTTTAAAAATAAAATAAAAAATGTTTCAAGAAAGAGGAATAAATATTTGGGAAATCACATTAAAGAAGTGTAGCCATGTACATGACACAATGTACCAAACACCACAAAATGTGTTTGTTACTGTCTGTTAATTTGTGTCTATAATATAACTCTATAGCTAAATGGTATAAGGACTTGAATAGCTAGAATAGATATACTCTCTTAATGAACCTCAATTTTAAATAAGAGCTAGATTTGTAAGAGATGATTACAGAAAACTTTCTTCTTTCTTGAGTTCTTTCTGTGGTTTACATACCAAATGTGTATAAATAATATAAGCAAGAATTACAGAGTTATTTAATCTCAATAATTTAGAGATATTAAATATTATCTAAACATAAGTGTATTTCTACATAAATGTATTTATACATTTTCTTCTGCAGTGCCATCATTTCAAAACGTTATTAAAATTGGGGTATTTTATGTGCAACTACAGATAGATTATTCTTTCTTCTAAGCACATTACATCCATGCTTTTGAATTTTTTGGAACAGAATTGTCAATGAGAAGAGATTCCTGCCTCCAGGAGATATTTGGCAATATTTGATTATATATTTGATTGTCACAGCTTGTGAAGAGGGTTTACTGGATCTATGGATCGGGCCTAGGCACATTGCTAAATATCCTGTTGTATACAGGAGATCCCCCGATACAGAATCATCCAGCCAATTTGGATACCTTCTCACAGTACCAATGTTGAGAAACCCTGTTGAAGGAAGCAGCTAAGCTTAGCTCTATACAATGTGTATCTTCAAATTTGAGAACAGGAGGCTGGAAAACATTCATTTTTTTCTCAGTAACTATAGAATTAAATAGTATATGACACTGAATAAGACTCAAATCAAGCTCAAGGTAAACATTTCTTTTCTGAGATTGACATTTTGTAGTGAATAGTGTGTCCTTTTTAAATTTTTATTTATTTATTTATCATTAGTTGTCCAAAACATTACAAAGCTCTTGACATATCATATTTCATACATTTTTCCCCTTTGTATTTATTTGTTTATTTTATTTATTTATATATGACAGTGGAATGCATTACAATTCTTTTTTTTATTATTGGTTGTTCAAAACATTACATAGTTCTTGACATATCATATTTCACATATTTGATTCAAGTGGGTTATGAACTCCCATTTTTACCCCGTATACAGATTGCAGAATCACATAGGTTACACATCCACTTTTTTACATACTGCCATACTAGTGTATGTTGTATTCTGTAGTATGTCCTTCACTTGAGAAGGTTCTCAATTCCAGAATACCAGAGCAGTTCATTTGGGATTCTCCCTTACACAAAGTAAGTGCTAAGCAAATTTGCTGAACCTGAATGAGTATCAATTCAGGAAATATTCATGACAATAACAACTTGATTGTTTTACCCCAGAACTTGGCTCAAAATTAATTGTCCTAATTTGACATATCGAAAGATGTTGTTGAAAAGATTTGTTATGAACATTCACAACATCTCTAAATGTGGGAAATCAATTTAGAAACCCATTTTTTAAATTTTATTTTTTATTCTAATTTGTTCTATATGACAGCAGAATGCATTCCAATTCATATTACACATATACAGCACAATTTTTCATATCTCTGGTTGTATACAAAGTATCTTCACACCATTCATGTTTTCTTAAATGTACTTAGGGTAATGATGCATCTCATTCCACCATCTTTTTTACAACTCTTTCCCCCTCCTTTCCCTTCCCTCTCCTTTCCCCTATCTAGAGTTTGTATAATCTTCCCATGCTCCCCCTCCCAACCCCACTATGAATCAGCCTTCTTAATATCAGAGAAAACATCAGGCATTTGGTTTTTTGGGATTAACTAACTTCACTCAGCATTATATTCTACAACTCCATCCATTTACCTGCAAATGCCATTTTAGTAGTTTCAACTGAGCTTTCCCAGAGTCATTCAGAGTCCCTGTAGAATCATAGTCTGGGGTAAAACAGGAAAGGTAAAGATGACATGGGTTAAAGTTATAGAAATAATATAAATACACCCAAACCTCAATAATACCAGCTTAATAACACAACAAGGACACACAGTCTCAATCTATGAGCAATCTATACATGGATTTAAAATGGTCACCTATATAAGAAATCAAGCCCAGAACATGAGCAGTAGATTTGAGGATCTCAGCATGAAGCATCATGGCAACCAGCATCACAAACACACATTAGCAGGCTCTTCATTGCCGCTGGTGTCTGCATCCCCTCACCTTCAAAAGAGAACTTCAGCCTAGGTAACTCATTACCTATTTACAGGAAATTCAGAGTATTGGACATTCTGTGAATCAAATGACCCATGTTCTGCAAACAATAAATTATAAAAACAAAACAAAATCAAATGTTTTCAAAAGGAATGAAGATGGAGAGAAATGTTTAGAATGTTTAGGGGGAAAATAAAAAAGCAGCCCAAACTGAACTTCAAGATGTCACTTGGGTGACAAAACTATAAGGAAATGAAAGAGCCAGTGTGGTGGCACATGCCTGTAATCCTAGTGCCTCAGGAGGCCAGCCTCAGCAATTTAACAAGGCCCTAAGCAACTCAGAGACACCGTGTCTCTAAATTTTAAAAAAGTGTAGGGGAGGTAGCTCAGTAGTTAATCGCCCCTGGGTTCAATTCCTGGTACCAAAACAAAACAAAATCAAACAGAAAAAAAAAATTGAAAGGAAATGGTTCAAGTACAAGGTAGTGGTTTCACTTAGGAAGAAGAAAGAGTACTGTGATAATGTAGTACCTGAAGGGTCTCATGGATAACTATCAAAATTCTGTATCTTCATTTAAGGGATGGGTACATTATAATAACTCATCAAAGCACATATTTATTTGGTTTTCTGTATATTTTATAGGAAATATTTTATTAACTTTATCATAAATATTTTATTAAAATTTATTTCATTATAAATAATTATTGTACAAAAGGGAACCTTTTACAGTCTAACAGTTATGCAAATATCTAGGTAATTGGTTGTGCAGCATTAAGACAATCACATACTAAATTCATGTCAGTACCCACAATGCCCTGGGGCAGCTATTGCCCACCTGGCTGGTGCCACGCAAGCAGAGTTAGAGTTGAATGTTCTTAAATCATGCTTTCAACACACATCCTTTACTTCACATTTGCCTCTTTTGTCAATTATACTGACACAAGCTTTGGTGGGGGGGGGAAGAACTTTCTAATACAAAAGGTAGGTGTTCCCATAATCCTGGTGCTTAATCATTATTTCTATGACAGTTTACTACCAGTGAAAACTCATATCTCCAATCCATCACATGTAATGATAAGTACTGCATATTTAGCAAAATTACATTAGCATTTCATTAAATATACACAGTAAAATGGGTGACATTTCAAAGGCCCTAATGACTTGTCATTTGCTGAGATTTGTTAAGTCAGTAACTCAAATCACACTGCTCATTTGTAGCCAAGTCTCAATTATCCATGGGTAGATTATCCACAGAACACATTGCATTAAAATTCCCATCAATACTTCATCTCTGTCTGTCTACAGATGTTGAGTCCAGGACGAAAGTTTGGAGAACCTTTGTTTCAATGCCTAATTTCACAGAGAAGGAAAACAAAACTCAGAGAGGCAGTTTAAATAGCCTTTGTCACTGTGATAAAATACCCGAGAAAAATCGACTTAGGAAAGAAAGATTTATTTTGGTTTGCAGTTTGAGAAGTTTCAGTCCACAGTTACCCTAGCTGGCTCCATTGCTTTGGGCCTTGAGATGAGACAAAGATATAATGATGGTAGGAGTGTGTGGCAGAGGAGGCTGCTCACCTCATGGTATCCAGGGAGCAGAAAGAGAGAGACAGAGAG